TGAAAAAAAAAAAAAAAAAAAAAAAAAAACAGTCAACGATTTATACTTGTTTATAAATAACATAAACATAAAACATAAAACATACAAAATCAGAAGTTGATCCGCTATAAGAGAGAATGATATTTGCAGCTCCTTCTCCTCTGTAAATCCAATCACCCGCATGTTTTGCATTCAAATTCAATTCCATCATTTGTCTGCATAAATTTGCAATCACCATCACGCGCATGCAGTTTAATAAACATGCGTAATACAAAACACACTTAATAATACATGACTTGATTCTTCACTAGTTCACTTATTGTGAAAAATTCTAATGCCAAAATACAGAAAAGCTCATGGAGTCTAGAGGGCTTAAAACCACAGTTTGGCCACAAGTGTTGCAACACACGATGAATGTTGGGGGTTGTAACTAATATATCTCTTAAATCATTTTATACACCAAGACACTGGATAAAGTGTGATACGCCCTGATACTTTCTTGAATAAGACACAGATTCCATTGATAATCAAACTATGAACTGATAAGATGGATTAGGGTTTTCCCATTCATTCGAGAGGAATGGACTCTCCAAGAAGAACAAAGTTCATTCTACAAAATAATTTTTAGCTATCTCTAAAGGACTCGACACTACCTTAAATATAACAATAATAAGACAAAAACAAGCAGCCACTGATCCCAGAAAAGGTTTGTCCCCCACAACAATTGTTTCCACCCATGATCGGCTGCAGACTCACTAATTGACAAATTAAAATAAAAGACTAAACTGCCCCTTTGGCCAAATACCAGCATAACAAGAAGAAATCACCCGATTTCCCTTTTTGCCCCTTGCTATAAACTAGTAAACTCTGGGGCTTATGCTTATCAAAGTGATATTTACAAAAATGAGCAATCAATAACGAAGTATTAAGAAAATAACGATTAATTTTGCATTTGAAGAAAAAGGAACAAGCTATCTAAACAAGTCATTCTACCATTATCAATTTGTCCACTTGGGCAAATGGTCCCTCGAAATAGCAATATAGCATTTCGAACACTCGATTTTGACAAAAAAACAACTCAATTTGTGAAATTATAGTGTTGTGAATAGTAATGGCTACCTTATTCATTTTCCTGAATAAGTTGGGTAATAAACTGGAAAAAGCAGGTCCAAAAACTCAAATTAATTGTCTAGAATCCAGTAAACCTATCTAAAACAGATGGAATTTTCATATTAGAATAAATGTAATGTAGTGTCCACCTTTTGGTAGCCTTAGATATGATAACTATGAAAGCAGTACTGTGGTAGAATTGTCTGTTCTTAAAAATAATCCAATCCATCACAAAAATCCCGAAATGAAATCATATCCAAAATACAATAAACATACCCAAAATGCAATGAACATGTATGACATAAATATCCAAAATATTTAACTTTCTGCTACACCGAATCTTTATTTGACTATGACATACAAACAGAAATTTGGTGTGAAAATACAAACTCGCATTACATGTATGGCTGTTTTTAAGGAGTTAAGTTTGCTTGATGTTCTGGACAACATTGAATTTGAAAGAACTCATTGCTTATGCAATACATGTTCTCCAAAGAAGTTGTATCAATTTCAACTTGTTTGAAGTAAATAATTGTATTTTCATTAGTGATCAAGGAAACGGCTGATCACTAATGGCAACAGATTTAATAACCCAAAAACTAGGTCATAAATAAAGGGAAATACTACGTAAACAGTGAAAGAGGCATGAATTAATCCATAACAAAGTCTAATGCACATAACTCTAAAGAGAAAATCAAATCTTGAAATAACTAATCGGCAGCAGAAACCAAACACATTGAGAGATTTAGATAGAAGGAACTGACCAGTCTTTTCGCAGATCTTGAGATACTTTTGGCAACTCAGATTTAGAGTTTAGACTAAAGAAAATTATGAGATCTTGAATGTTTAAGGAATGCCTCCGACTGATGTTAATAACTCTTCGGTTGCTGGATACCAAAAATACTGATGTAAGCTTGAATAAACGATAATCTTACACTGTGATACAAA